CCCTCTCCCAACCCCTGGCAACCACTGATCTTTCTATTTTCTCTGTAGTTTTGTCTTTTCCAGAATGTCATATAGTCAGAATTATGCAAAATGTAGCCTTTTCAGATTGGCTTCTTTCCCTTATTAATATGCATTTAAGGTTCCTCCATGTCTCTTCCTGGCTTAACAGCTCATTTCTTTATAGAGCTGAAGAATATGCCATTGTCTGGGTGCACCATAGTTTGTTTATCCATTTACCCTCTGCAGGAAATCTCGGTGGCTTCCAGGTTGGGCCATTATGAATAAAGCTCCTGTAAACATCCCTGCACAGGCTTTTGTGTGGACATATTTTACTTCATTAAGGTAAATTCCAAGGAGCACAATTGCTAGATCATGTGGTAAGAGTGTTTAGTTTTACAAAAAACTGCCAAGCTGTCTTGCAAAGTGGCTGCACCGTTTTGCATCTGATTAGCAATAAATGGGAGTTCCTCTTGCTTCATATCCTTCCCAGGATTTCGTATCACCAGTGTTTTGGATTTTGGCCACTCTGATAGGTGTCTTCTGGTATCTCATTGTTTTAATTGTAATTCCTTAATGACATATGATGTTGAACATCTTTTTGTACGCTTGTCTGTTGTTTGTATATCTTCTCGGTGAGGTGTCTGTTCAGGTCTCTTGCCTATTTTTTAATTGAGTTGCTTTTCTCCTTGTTGAGTTGCAGATATTTTCTCCCAGTCTGTGGTTTGTCTTCCCATTCTCTTGACATCATCTTTCACAGAACAGAAGTTTTTAATTTTAATGAATCCCAAGTTATCAATTTCTTTCATGGATGGTGCCTTTGGTGTTTTATCTAAAAAGTCACTGCCGCACCCAAGGTCATTTAGATTTTTCTCCTGTGTTATCTCCTAGGAGTTTTATAGCTTTGTATTTTACAGTGAGGTCTAGGATCCATTTTGAATTAATTTTTGTAAAGGGTATAAAGGCCATGTCGGGGCTCATTTTTTGCATGTGGATATCCAGTTGTTCTAACACCCTCATTTTTTAAGTGACTGAATTTCCAGCTTCCCTGAACTCCCAAAATTCCTACTTTTTATTGTGAAATGGTTTTCCTATTCTTCGTCTCCTCACTCTTGCTAGGGGGCCTCATTTTTATAACCAAACTCACTGATTAAGGTGTATCTAAACAAGAGAGACACTCCCTTCATGCATGTCCTCCATTAGAACATGTTAGGGAATAACATGGGTGGGAGGGCATGGTTTTTGACTCTATCATAATTTTATTCCAACCGCAGATAAAACAGATCCAATACCATCGTATGAAAAAAAGCAATAAATTATTGTGCTGGACATCTTTCTAATTTTCACCTTGTGGTCTTTCTTACCTTTCTTTCTGTTCTTTTTCAATGTTTTACGAAATAAAACCACAAAGAGGCTTGATAACTAAATGCTGGCTAAAGAATTTAAGAGACCAGGTGACTCACTGTGTTGTATATGTGATCTCTATATTTTACACTTAAGTAGCTGTTTGCCAATATTTAATAAACCCTCTTAATTATCAAATTTCAAATGTTTACTCTTCTATCCTGATTCAGGCAATTCTTAGCATCCTGCTTTGTAAGATGTATGTTAAATAAGTCCACACGTTGCAGAAAACAGTTTAATAAGTGAATAAAGCACCTTCTTCCCACCTGCTTTCCAACTTCAAGGGAGTATTTTAAAGAACAATCATTACATTTCTTACATTACGTAAGAAAAGATTTGAGGGGTCAATTATTGAGGTTTATTTGCAAGGTATAACAGAAGAGTTACTTAAGAAAGTATGTATCATTCCTACCCTTGAGGAAGACATGAAATTATGAGGAAAGACAAAGCAGTAAGAGATAATCCTGCCATGTGGCCGCCACAGTGTAAGGGAACCCTCAGACACGTAAGGAGACCATTACAACAAAGTGGCTGTATAATTAAAGGGTTGAGGATTGTAGAATGATACCCTTTTTCTCAGAATTCCAACAGCATCAAGGCCCATTAATTCTGGGTGAAGGAAGTTCCATTAATGTTCTTTACTTCTTCAGCTTTGAGCTTCCATTTAAAAATATGCCTTAGTGGATTTTGAAGATTAGGAATATTTCACAGACACTAACACCTCATGAAATAGGAATAATCTTTATTATTCGTTTGTTTCAGCATCTCTCGTTACAGGCCTTAGAATTATTGGCTCAGTATTTATACATAGTTAGAAAGACATTCCTCATTTCCTAGAGCTAATTTGGTGTTTTTCTGCCTTCTATTGAAAGCAGGTAAACAGAAACATAGAGAAATTAAATAAATTTTTATAGATAAGAAAAGTCCGAAAATACGAGGGCAATTGTTCTAAACTACCTTCCCTAGAAACTGTCTCCTTTCTACCATCCTTCTTAAAACAAAAGCATTTTCCAATTAATAAAAACCCGCAAATGTCTAAAATCCAAGGACGATGACAACACATTGTTTTCCTCTAACATTTTAAGCAATAAATTGCTAAGGCGCTGTAAGACTGACCCTAAATTAAGATTTAGTAGCAAAATAAAAGATTAAAAGAATAAAATTTGGACCATGTTACAGAATTAGGCTTTGTATATTTATTTCCTTTTCCCTTTAAGTTCTATTTAATTTTACATGTAGTAGGTACATTATTTTTCAGTAATGCCTTTGTTTTCCCAAATAAAAGATGTAATGATCCCACTAATTCTTTCCAAATTAAAGTTTTACAGTAAAACTGCCATTAGCTCGGGGCTGGCCCCATGGCCGAGTGGTTGCGTTCGCGCGCTCCGCTGCAGGCGGCCCAGTGTGTCGTCAGTTCGAATCCTGGGCGCGGACATGGCACTGCTCATCAAACCACGCTGAGCCAGCGTCCCACATGCCACAACTAGAAGGACCCACAACTAAGAATATGCAACTATGTACCTGGGGGCTTTGGGGAGAAAAAGGAAAAAAATAAAATCTTTAAAAAAAAAAAAAACTGCCATTAGCTCTTTATGTTCATTGCTTTCTTCAAAATCAAGTTTGAAAGTTAAACACCTCCATTTCAAGGCAAGAAAATAAGATCCCTCCTTAAATTTGTGCCCAGTGCTGCCCTTGGGGCCTCTCTTGCAAAGGCGTGATTACATTTTCACGCAATCAAAGCAATAACAACTTCTCCAGATTGCGTTGTATCCCCACAACCAAGTGGACTTGAGTGTGTGAATACAAAAGTTTACTGAGGTTTCAGGGGATTGGCCTGTTCAGAACCTCAGCTGTTTTAATTTGAACTGAGTGTCTCTTCATTTTTTACCCACTGCAAACAAAGAGACGCTGGCTTTTTAGAAGCAACAATGAGAAACAATTAAAGACTGGTGAGTAGGTTTTCAAGTCATCAGCCCAGCTGAGGAATTGGCCATTGACAGCGGGACTGATGGAATATTATGCGTCGTCAAAGGAAGGCCATAAGAACCATATGGAGTGACATACCAACACTTTTAATGTGCCCATATCAGAAACTCCCACAGCTGATGGTGTTCACACAGCTGTAGGTTATTAGGAAGGAGACTCAAATAAACAAGGGAGTCCTCTTTAGGGTCATTCACTATCGTAATAATGTTAACTAAAACCTGCTGGTGGTGAAGTGACTTCGTGGAGAAGAACAATATATCACTGGTTTTTGATGGCTGCCGTAAGCTATAGGGACTTGTATTTTTTGTGTGTTTTGAGGAATTAATTTTAAGTCTGAGTTTTATAGTGATCTCCTGGGGCTAATAAATGTGCTTTTACCTGGCTTGTATAGCTCTTAAAATTAAAAAATATGCCTTTATTAAATAAATAGAATTTCATTTGAATTGCACACCAAAAAATGGCCAAAAAACAAACAAAAAAAAGAAGGCTCCAAATAATTTCTTGAATATCCCAAGTGAATAATCAAATAAATTTGTAATTTACAACCAAAATGAAAGTTTTGGAATAGCATCCTGAGTAGCCAAGTCTCCATTTGAAATGAAAATATAGGGGTAGGTGTACTTCTCTGCAAATTATTTCTTTAATGTTATTGACAACAGGTTAAAAATATATTACTTATGAGTAAAACTCAGCCATTAAGTAAAAAATAGCTTTAAGATAAACTCAACATATAACTGTCATTCTACAATGGAGAAGCTAGATTCTTTTCTCATTTGAACTTCAAGTATGTCAATATTCAGAAAAATATTATGATAAATAAGGATCACATATCGTAGTCTAAAAATAATCGATGACTCCTACTGTTCCTTCAACAAACACTTCTCAAGCACCTGTTATGTGTAGGAGCCTGAGATCTCTGTGATTAATTACTGTGGCTCCATTTAAGAGCTTCTGTTTCCGGACATGGCTAAGAGAAATGAAGTCCAGTGTTAAGCCAAATATCCTGGCTTCTGCATCAAGCCAAGAAGGAAATGCCAAGGAATCACTCATAGCTCATTAGGAGATAATGATCAGATTCTTCTCAGATGTGTAGATGCTTTAGTCAACGAGGTTAATACTGTTGAATCAATAAAAGCACTTAATCAAAAAGCACCATCAAGAAACCTATTAGACAAAAGAAAGTTTCAAGTTTTCCTTTTCAATTGTAGTGCTTCTCTAAATGAATGGCGCTTGAATCAGGACTAATCCTAATAGAAAAGTGTTACTTTGATGCATTACCGTTCTTTCTCTCTACTGCACACAGTTGTCATTCCTCATCCACAGACAACAGCATGTGGCAGTCGTGCAGATGAGGAGTTGGGAGTTAGCGGCAGGTTCAGCTGCTGACAGTCCGATGAGCAAATGTCTGAGAAGGACATCCTGCTGCTGTTTGTTGGAGAGTGACTCCCCACCCTCTAGAATATTCCATTGATGCCCCTCTTTCACTTGATTTTTAAGTTTTTCCTTTTTCAAATTTCTGGCCTGTTCTGTGTTGCTTTATGAGGTGGTCAGTCAGGGGTGGCCACAAAGGAGACAGAGGAGAGACTCAGGAAGACAAAGTTTATTATACTCACAGGTCCTAGAGATAAGAGGCAAGGCGGGGCATGCCATGCAGGGCCACAAGAAAAAACCCCGGGGTGGTCAGGAAGCAGAAGAGAGTAGCGAGAGTGCAGCTTCGGCCTCCACCTTTGTTCGGATTTCTGTGGGAAAACAAGCCAGGCAGGTAAACTGTTTAGGATTGTCTATTTCGAATAATTTCAGCAGGCTGCGGGCTGTAAGGATGGTTCTCCAGTTGCCTGGAGGTGATTAAGGCAGAGGACTATTGCTCTGGGGGTGGATGGGCCAGATAGAGGAGGCTTGGCTCTGGATGGGTTTGCAGATCAAAGGCATGCTCTGGCTGGGCCTTCTGCTGTCTCTAAGAATTAGCTAGCCCCGGAAGGGCAGAGACTTTAAGATGTCAAAACGTCATAATATATAAAAAATTAAAAAATATGTAAAACATTTGGTCTTAAAAGGGGCCCAATTAAATAAGTTAGACAAAGAAAGAGGAACCTTACATTAATTTACCTTTACAAAAAATAGTAAATGATGGCCACTTATACAACACACTGTACTTTTCAGGGTGCTTTAAGAAAACTGATGTTAATTTGTTCTCGCTCACTGACTTTTTTTTAAGCAGCAATTTTTCTGATCATAAATCAGCAGAAAAGCCAAATGAGGACTTGGAAATCCCATAATCTCAGCTTCAATGCTTCTCACTTTTGAGCTATATTTCAAAAACACCATGTCTCTTTCCTTCCTCTTATACTGAGCAAAGGCTTGAATACGTGGTATCAGTTTCTATCTAAAGAGAGCAGAGTGTGACAACCTACTCTTTTGACACAGACATGTTTAGCACAGAGGGTTCCGTGGCTGAGATCCAGGCCATCATGGAGGAGACAGAGCAAGGAATGTTTGAGGCCCACTTTGGCGAGGCTCCAGGCACTCCGTCTTGCTCTGTGTTGATGCCTATGTGTGTGAATGAATGCTCAAGGCTAAGTAGAAAGTGACTAGCCATAAATTTTCACATATCAAAGGATGTCAAGACCCATAGGAAACAGATTATATCCACTATTTCCAAAGTGGTAAAAATCCTTAGAAGATGTTGCTTTCTATATGTTGCGTGCCTAGGTGGCCACTTATCCATTGCCCTGATTCCCTGCGAGTTTACACCTCTGGTCCTAGGGTATACTGAATAAGCCCTCCCTTTAGTTTTCACAAGTGTCCTGATAGTTTGAGCTCAGATTCTAGCTCCACTGTTTCCCAGGAAAACTAGGGCAAATTCCTTGACCTCCACCACCATTTTATCTTGTAAATGGTGTCATGTGTAAATGGTAATAGCGGTGCTTACCTCATAGGGTGGCTGTGAGAACTATATGTATTAATGCCTGTGAGGTGCTTAGAATAGTGCCTGGTTTGTAGCAAATACTCAGTAAGAGTTAACCATGATTCTTTTATGACTCAGAAGGTATTATGTAGTGGTTTCTTACATTTTAGAGTCATCATTAGTTATCTGCCTATAAATATACATATATATGAAATAAATATCAGGACATACCATATCTAGAAAGAATACACATTCTTATTGTGTGTAATGTATAATTTTTTGGTCTAGGCTAAATTGTAAAGTATCAGTTGATTCTTTAAGTTGGAGTTTTGCACATAACATGTAATAAACAAATGGAGAGCACACTATTTATTCAATACTAAGATGCAATTTTTCTTCTAACAATTCTCAATTCTGAAAATAACTTGTAATCAATGTGTATAAAACTTTTGGTCCCCCATTCAACAAATAACTTGTTTTTGGAATCATGAAAATAATATTTGGAAATATATAGACACATATACACACACATATATATAGGTGTTAGTGCTATGGAATAGATTCCGACTCCTAGCAACCCTGTGCACAGCAGAGTGGAACGCTGCCCAGTCTTTCTGCGCCATCCTCTCAACTTCCGGCGCTATGTCAACAATGCTTGGTTGTTATTCATAGGGGTTTCATGGCCAGTGTTTTCGAAAGTGAGAGTCCTGGTCCTTCTCCCTAGTCTGTCTTAGTCCGGAAGCTCCACCAAAACCCGTCTAGCATGGGTGACCCTGCTGGTATTTGAAATACTGGTGGCATAGCTTTCAGCATCACAGCAACATGCAGCCACCACAGTATGACAACAGAAGGTAGTATGGTTCCCTGACTGGGAAAGGAACCTGGGCCATGGCAGTAAGAGCAATGAACCCTAACCACTAGACTACCAGGGCTGGCTATATATGCATATATATAATCAAATACCACCTTTTTACGTGTGTGTATGTTTGTATATAAAGTGGCTTAATTCATAAAGATATTGATACATTTGACCATATGAAAATTAAAAGACATTTAAAGAAAATGACAAGACCAGTCACCAAATGGGAGAAAGTACATGCAACACACAACTGAAGGTGATAGCATCAAGAATATATAAAAAGTCATACAGATCAATAAGAAAAAAAAATAGAAAAATGGAAAAAAGACGGGAATAAGTATTTCATACAAAAGCAACACATTTGGGGAGCTGGCCCCGTGGCCTAGTGCTTAAGTTCATCACGCTCCACTTCAGTGGCCCGGGTTCAGTATCCAGGCAGAGACCTACATCACTCTTTGGAAGTATGTTGTGGCGACAACCCACAAACAAAAAAAAAGAAGGGGCCCGCCTGGTGGCGCAGCAGTTAAGTTCGCACGTTCCGCTTCAGCGGCCTGGGGTTTGCCGGTTCAGATCCCAGGTGCAGACCTATGCACCGCTTGTCAAGCCATGCTGTGGCAGGGGTCCCACATATAAAGTGGAGGAAAATGGGCATGGATGTTAGCTCAGGGCCAGTGGTCTTCAGCAAAGAAGAAGAGGATTGGCAGCAGATGTTAGCTCAGGGCTAATCTTCCTCAAAAGAACAAACAAACAAAGGAAGGCCATGCTTATTCAAATGATGATAGTGTGTCCTGAACCAAGAAGTATTATTAATCCATTTCCAGGCATCTGGGGTCCAGAAGAGATGGCAGCTCGTTTTAAAAGATTAGTGGTGAGTGCATTATTTGCTTTTACGACTTTCCTTGTTGTATTTTGTGTTGTACTTGGTATCTTATGAGAGTTACTCCACATATCATTGCCTTATTTTTTACAGTAAATGTCAAAAGATAAAATTTCACAAAATAGAAGAGTGTTTCACATTTTACAAAATCTACTATGGTGATTGCTGCTGAGTAGGCAACGGACACCATTGCTGATCCCTTCAAAGACTCACCAAGTGTTTGGGGAGCTTAATGAGATAGCAGAAATAGCAGACAGATTTAAAAAACAAAAAAACTAGAGAAGCCTATTTACTTTCTTTTTCTTTTTGCCAATCACCTTTATTTCCCAGATCACAAGGTGCTGCACACGCCATGGGCTCCAGGTTCCCAGTGAGAGGTACTAATCAGATGGAGGAGAATAAAGTCCACTGTCGAATTTTAAAAATGAAATGTGTATTTCCATTTGTAGGTACAATCAGAAAGAAAATGTATCACACAAAATGGTTTTAAAAAAGACTCTAGAAGAAAGATTTTGAAATTCATGAATCTTCTAATTATTACGACCTACATTTAGATTTAAATGCTATAGAAAAGCACAGCTTTAGGCATATTATGCTTTGCACTTAGTAATTTTAAGTTTAAAATTAAAATTCGCTATTGTGCTCAACCAAATTCCTGGTAATTGAACAAAGAATATATAATTTAGAGATGTAGTAAATGTCAATAAAACATCATGGGTGACCAATATATAGAACACAAAAACAGAAAGCCAGAAATTTGAGCCAAGCTAACAAAACCATTCATAATCATGTAACTAATTATTCACTCTACATAGCATGGTCTTGACTAATTCCAGAAATGGAAAGGCAGAAATGTTCTCTTCCCAGAACTTTAAGAAGATGATGACAACAGACTTGGCCTTGGATCATAATCTCCCAACAGTGCTGTCAAGGAGTTCAGCTGAGGAGCACATGTGCACGTTTCCTCAATGGTCACTCCTGGAGCCACGCTTCAAGACTCATCTGTTCTCACTCAGAGAGCTTTCTAATTCAAGAGGAGCTAGGAGTGGGGGATAACAAGTAGGAAAGCAGGTAAAGACCCATGTCATTCCTTCACTCATGCAATAAATAATTATTCTGTATCTTCTACATGCCCAGCACTGTGCCGGATGCTGGAGAGTAATGGTGAGCAAAAAGGCAAGGCCCCTGCCCTCATGCAGCTCACAGTCCTGTAGGGGATGCAGCCAAGTGATTGGAGAAGGAGATTGCAGAATGGTGTGTGCTGTAACAGGGGAGGCACCGAGGGCTGTCACGCTTCCAGCAGTCTGAACTTTAAGAATCCATGAACGCCTTCCCAAATCAAAGTGTAAGAGTAAGCCAATGTCTGCACACGAGGATCGCCTAAGATCTTTTTAAAATTATAAAGCACAGGCCACACTCCAGATCAACTTAAATGACAATCTCTGTGTTTGGGACGCAGGCACTGGTAGTTTTTTAAACTCCCCAGGTGATACCAATATGTTGACAGATTTGGGAACCACTAGTCTAGAAACAGGAAGATAAACAAAGGGGAATTGAAACTGCTTTCTGTATAACGGACCTCGTACCATTTCAGGCTACTAACTCAGATGTGCAAAAAAAGAAAGTCTTTAGTTTTCTGTAGATGACTGTAATTTCTTTTTTAAGCCCCCAATTCCACAAAGTGGCTAAAGTTTCTGTCAGTCGATCCATGGTTCCTCTCACTCTTCCCTCTGCTCTTTCTTCGTTGGAGCTGTGAGTAGGGAGTTATAAAGTACCAGAGGAGGAGAGAGGGGTAGCAGGGATGAGCATTCATTGAATCCCCAGCTAATATCCATCCATGTTGGCTCCATTAGTCCCCTCAACACATGGCCTCTCCAGTGTCACTTTCTGAAGTCCCTGGCACAAGCTGCCGCATCCCATCCCCAGGGGCTTTCAGGTCCCCAGGCTGGCTGCTCACAGCCTCACTGCTCCTGGTCACGATAGCAGACATTCTGCTCTGCCCCACGTCACCCTGAAGTTCAAGGGGCAGGGGTAGCCTTTAAAAACAGGGAATTATTGAGAATGAAAAATACTTTAGTAATATATCAAGGGGCCAGCT